CACAAATATTCAATAATTGACCTTATCATTTGTTTACCGTCATGGCGAACCAAATAAAATAAAATAAATGGGATATTAAATTTGTTTAAATTCGAATGGTATATCGGTTGGTATCACTGGAATTCTCGGAATGAAAACTTTCTCATCCTTAAATGTTTGGTCTAGTTTCGTCGCGTGTATTACATTACCTTTAGTGGTGGAGTTTTTACACCACCAAATGCATCCTGTTACATGGTTTTAATTGGTTCATATTTCTGATTATGATGACAACCTAGCTAACCTTTAGTTGTATTGTGCATTGGTAAACGAAGCCCTCGTCTTCGTTTGTTAAACAGTCAATATATTTGAAAGAATGTATGAACTTACTTTGAATTATTAAGTTAAAGTCATCTGCATCCTCATTCTATTCTGCTAAAATTGTTGTTTCATTCAACCAATTGTGATTTTTGTATTTAATAATGATGTTCGGGAACAGTTTATTAATGAACTTGTCCTTCATTGAGACGAAATGAGGAAAATGAAATCAAACCATTCTATTCATCGACAGGAATACGGCCATTGCCGATAGCAAGTAATTGCTTGGAAAACTCTTCGGTAGAAAGATCATTTAGAAATGCAACTTTCTTGTTTGTCGTCTGTTAATTTCATTAGCTTATCGAGATCACTGCAATAATGACAAACCATTTGTTAGTGATAACAGTTAGTATAAGCAACCCATGGATATGTGACGAAATTCTACAGCTAATGGATGAGCAAAGACATAGAATTGAGACAAAAGATCACCAAAGTAAAGCTGAATAAGCTTCAATGGCAAGCATACTTATTCATAACAGAAGCGATGTCGACTACCCTAACCTCCTTCATTCAGGTCATGCTTGCCATCCCTTTTATACAAATATGGATAAAGAATGAGGCGAAGGTAGGAGCATACAGAAGGTGGATAAAACGCCAGGAAGCAGGGTAAAAGTACACCGGGATCAAATCTGGAGAGGTAATTAAAAATCATACTGAGATGAAAGTGATACTAGATGCAATGCAACCTAAATATAATTTCGAAAGGCCGTTTATTGTCCTTTTTCCAGAAAGGGAAATGACAAGTGGGAGTCGAATAAAAAGTCGACTCATTGCCGAAGTTTCGAATTGTCTTCAGAATCTGATTTAGATCGAAAAAGTACATTTACTCTGGGTGCCTGGATATACTGGCATTAGAGGAAAGAAAAAGTAGACCTGCTTGCCAGGGGAGGACCAAAGGAAACATTTATAGGCCCAGAACTTATCGTTGGCATAGCAAGAAACACATTCAAAGGTACAATATCGAACTGGGTGTAAGGAAATATTGGAATGCTTTTATACATGAACCTCCGAAAAAGAGGTCCAAAGATCTACTAGATATGAATAGGTATGATCTGCGAATTATCGTAGGTTTTCTAGCAATACAATGTCGCCTCAAGGTGCACATGATTAAAACGGACTAACAGAAAGTGCGAATTGAGATTCTGTCAGGCTGATGATGAGACCGCAAAACACGTTCTGTTTAACTGTTCAGGGTTGGATAGAATAAAGCTTAATATATTTGAGCATTATCAACTCGAGCCATACGATTTTATAGAAGTGTCACCTAAGGTCACAATGTACTTTGTTCAAAATACTGGGCCGAATGGACAACTTTAAGCTAGGAATGAGCCACAATAGACCTCTTAGGTCTAGGGAAAGGATAATTAAGTGCCCACTTATATTGAACCAAATCTAACCTCCAGGTCCAAATGAAATAACCGGAGATATTCTAAGGTTTCTGGAGGACGACTATACAGATCTTTTTCAACGACTTGCGAGATTAGAAAACTACCTAATGACAAGCTTAGTTCCATATTTATACCTAAGAAAATAGCAGCAATGAGGATAATCCAGATCGCCTAACCCAGTTTTGCAAATAATGCAAAATTTATGTAATCAAAAACCTTTTTTATGAGTATATGGAACAGTCAATCGGCAAAACTACAGATATTGGAGTAAATCCTTAGTAAGTCATCCTCATTGGATGACTGATGCACATAGAAGTACAGATCCTTTTTCTAGTCCAGGAAACTAAGCTTAAAATAGAACAAAACCTCGCAAAATTTTCGGAAAAGACCGATTTGCATAAAAACTTGGGATGAAGGATACTTCAAAATCTATATTGTGCCGAAGAACGACGGGCGCTTTTTATTTTTCAGGGGGGAAAACTGCCCCCTATTTGCCAATATCTATAAAAAAAAACTTAAAAAGAGTAAAATTTGGTTCAGATGAATTAAATAATTATTGTCTGTGACTCTAACTATAATTGTTGACTATATCAACTCTTTAAATTTATTTTTAAGGGTGAAAACTACTCCTAATTGATCAAATTTATAAAAAAAGCTTAAGGAGGAAAAAATTTGGATCGGATGATTTAGGTAATAGTTCATAGTTTGATATTCTTATTATAATTTCTGTGTATTTCAAACCTCACCACTACCGAACTACCCTTTATTCCGAACTCTTTTAAAAACTGATTAAAAACATTGATTTTTTCGATATAAAACTAATTCTTTTGATAACGAATAAATCGAAAACTATTAATTTAAAAAAAATGCATAGAATATTTTTTACTTAGAATTAGTATTTCTATCAATTTTTGTGGTTAAAATATAACAAAAAATTTTCATCCCCGAGATGGGGTCGCAACTAACCCTTTGGTAAAAACTCCATTCTGCATGATATAGATTTTGATCCTTCGACATTCCACTACTTATTCTCAAATATTGCTATGTTAAATCGATCTTTTCCGAAAAAATAGCGAGGTGAAAACCTCCGTTTTCTGAACTATTCCTTCGATGAGCCTCTTATTACGGGGCAAATATGTCGTAATTTTTTACAAAATAAACTTATTATACCCCCCTCCTCTACAGACCTTCTGCAAATGATGATTGTGAACAAAATGTAGAAACATAATAACGGAAATATTGGAAAAACATAAAGAATAGAAAAAGACAGACTGAGCAGGATACACAAGAAGAGCAAAGGAGGAATACAGGACCCTAAGGGTGGCCGCACACAGAAAGAGCAAATCTGTTTTAGTCAAAAACGTTTTTGACTAAACGAGTTTGATGCTGATGTTTTCATATAAATGAAATGAGCTTACGCACACTGATTAGTCGTGTGTCTAAAGCATGTTTAGGCTTATTTAGTTTCAGTCAGTCTGTTTGATGTTGATTACCTGATCGTCGTTTTGTCTCGAAACATTTCAATGTACGCAGGCGCAACGTGTTTTTGGAATTCCCTTTTTGAAACCGCTCGAATAGTCAACAAGGAGCACATGTGGAACAGCGATATTTTGTTTTTTCGTCTTGTAGGAGGAACCACTGCCAGAAAACTAGTGCAATTTCGTCGTTATCTGTCGACATCTTTAATAAAACTGATTGCAGTATGGTTTGCGCAAACAGTTTGTTTCTCTTGAAAACAAAATGTTTTTTGTGGAAATAAAAACGTTTTCGTTTCAAACAAAACGTTTTGACTAAAACAGTTTTGCTCTTTCTGTGTGCGGCCACCCTAAGAAGAGAAAAAAAATATTACATAGAAGAAAAAAGACAATTTAAGGAAAAGCAGTTTAAATGAGCAAAGAGTTTAAGTCATGACTAAGGAGCTGTAAGGATGGAGGAGGGAAATATCCTAAATGATACGGCCTATCAACAGATAGGTTGAATTTTTCGACACAAAATTTAATGTTCATTATATCAAAGGAACAGAATAACATCGTAACAGATCAAAATGATTGGAATTTATTCAACCCAAACGAAAGATTATCTACCATTAAAGAGGTTGCCGAAGCCATTAAAAAGCTTAAATATGATGAATCACCAGGAACTGCTCAAATTTGTAGTGAGCTCTACAAAACTGGTAGCGACGCCTTGCTACAGGCAGTTCATAAACTTTTACTTCTTGTATGGCAAAATGAGACCATGCCCTTTGAATGATCTCAAGGCGTGATATGTCCGTTAAATAAAAGGTTATAATGTAAAATATAAATATGTCCACTGTTACACAGTGGGCAGACCAGATTTATTTTATAAAAATCCACAATTGTCGAGATTTATCAAATAAGACAGAAAACATTGGATTTTAACATTAAAACCCATCACCTATTCGTCAAATTCAAGGCCGCATACGACAGTGTGCTGGCTTGCTTTCTACATAATATAGCCTTGAAAAAGGCAGTCCAAGACACGCGAATTAGAGACGGCGAAACCATTTACAATAGATCGAAACAAATCTATTTACAATAGATTATTATTATATATAAAACACTTCCAAGGCCGGTCCTCATATATGGGGCAGAAACATAGATTCTAATGCAGAAGGATGAAAGAATTTTGGGAATATTGGAGCGTAAAATACTCGGCAAAATATTTGGAGCTATAAACCACTAAGGGCAGTGGCGCAAAAAATATAACTTCGAATTATATAAATTATTTAATGAACCGAACGACGTAATGTTCATTAAAACACAGCGATTTGATCGGGTGGACACATAATAGGAATGCAAGACAGCACGATTGCTAAAAAACTAACCACAGTAACACCTGTAGGAAGAAGAAGCAGAACCCGACCGCCCATTAGGTGGTTAGATGGAGTTGAGATCGACTGACGGATATTAAAAATCAGAAGCTGGCAACAGGTGGCTAGAAACCGAACCACATAGAATTGTCGAGCCTACATGATGATGATGATGATGGAGATTATTAGGTATGCCACCGCCTATTTATAAAATTGTTTTATTTTTTTATATTACAAATATATTTTATATTAACAGTAATCATTAATAAAATTCACGTATTTTTAACAAAAATTAAAAGTTATTACGGAATTGGCTTTTTCCCTAAATCAATCTACTACACTGGTTTGTTGCTGTACAAAAAAGAGAAAGTAAGATACAAAGCAATATTCCTAACCACATACTTCTATTTAACATAAAGTTCACTAACCTTCGTATTTGTACAGCAAGTTTCATTGTCATTATCGTCAATTGCTACTTCATGTTTTGCTGCCAATGTAACAGTCATATTCTAAAACAAAAACAAAGGTGAAAAATCAAACAAGTTTCTCTTACTGTAAATTTCTTTCAATATTGCAAAATTTTGCTATTTATTCAAGGGTGATGAAAAATTTAAAGTGATTTAATTACCGATACACCAACGTAACAGCGAGTTAAGTCCCAAATTTCATTTTTTTTAAGAACATTATTGACATATATGTCTTGCACTCTACCATGCGGTCCATATGTATGGAATAAATTCATTTTTAGCTTTATTATGTACTATGTGAAAAAAACCTTAAACAGGTCGATTTTTATTTTTAAATTGACAATTTACAGTATAAAAATATTATACCCTTCTAGCACCCCCTTTGAATTATAAGCACCCCCTCGAAAATTTTAAATGACAAAGGGGGTCGTGTGACACTTTGTTAGAAAGGGATTTTAGTCCTCTCTTCAGCAATATAAATTTTTTTTTTTAATTTGTGCCATTATAACTGAGAAAATTGATTTTTAAGATGTAAAATTTTGATAATGTCTCTATCACAAAACAGTAGGTTAAATGAAGATATAAATATCATAATATTTAGAATGTATTTTTCAATATAATTTACAATTAAATTAAGTGTTCAAAATGACCACCATTCACTTCTTGACAATAACCGATGCGATTTTGGAATTCTCGTACAACATTTTGTACGACCTCGGGGTTATTTTGTTTATTTCTTCCGTTATCCTAACTTTTAAATCAGCAATACTGTTTGGTCTATTAAAATATACTTTAGATTTTAAATATCCCCATAAAAAGTAATCGAGAGGAGTCAAATCTGGGGATCTAGCCGGCCATTCGATCGTTCCACGTCTTCCAATCCACCTATTGGGAAAAACCTCGTTTAAATAATTTCTAACTATACGTGCAAAATGCGGTGGAGCTCCGTCTTGTTGGTAGTAAATAGATCGATCTATTTCATTTGGATAATCACCATCTGGAAAAGATCTTCGTAATGTAGGCACTAAAAAGTTAATCAAAAAATCTAGATAAACCTCACCATCAACTGTGCCCTCAAAAAAATAAGGACCAATAATTTTATTGTTAATAATACCAGCCCAAACGTTAACTTTTTTAGGATATTGCGTGTGACTCTCACACACCCAGTGAGGATTTTCTCTGCTCCAATATCTACAGTTCTGTTTGTTAACCGTTCCGTTTAAATGAAACGTCGCTTCATCAGAAAACATTATTTTGTTTATGAACTGCAAATCCGCGTTCATTCTGTCCATCATTATTTCACAGAATTCTTGCCTTCTATCAGGATCATCTTCATTTAACTCCTGAACCAACTGAAGTTTGTAAGGGTGATATTTTTCTTTGTGCAAAATTCTCAAAATAGATGATTTACTTACATCATTGACGGCGGCAAGTTCTCGAGTTGTCTTATGCGGATTTTCCTCAATCTCTAGAAGTACATCTAACTTTTTTTCATCAGTAAATTTAATAGTTCTACCTGGTTTGTCAATATTTTTTACATGTCCAGAATAACGAAACTTCTTTTCAATTTTGCTAACTGTAGACTGTGAAACTTGTTGACCAGGGTATTTATCATTAAACATTTCACAAACCTCCTTTTGAGTTCTTGTTTTGTTACCACAACCAATCATAATTAAAATGTCTATTCTTTGAGTCTCTGACAAATGAGCCATAATTAAATTTAATCCGCGCAAAAATATTTTACTAACTTTAAATACCTAGATGACAGCAGCCTACTCGATTCATATCAATAGTTTATTTGGCTTTTTAACTAATATTTTATTATCTTCAAAGTTTTTTCCCTAATTTTTAGCAAAACAGATACGAAAATACCTGATTATTTTTAATTTATATTTTAATAGACCAGGCAACACTGCTGATTTAAAAGTTAGAATAACGGAAGAAATTAACAAAATAACCCCCGAAGACATACAAAATGTTGTACGAGAATTCCAAAATCACCTCGGATATTGTCAAGAAGTGAATAATGGTAGTCAAGTTGAACATTTAATTGAAATGTAAAAATCAATTTTCTCAGTTATGATTGCACAAATAAAAAAAAACTTTATATTGCTGAACAGAGGACTAAAATCCCTTTCTAACAAAGTGTCACACGACCCCCTTTGTCATTTAAAATTTTCGAGGGGGTGCTTATAATTCAAAGGGGGTGCTAGAAGGGTATAATATTTTTATACTGTAAATTGTCAATTTAAAAATAAAAATCGACCTGTTTAAGGTTTTTTTCACATAGTACATAATAACGCTAAAAATGAATTTATTCCATACATATGGACCACATGGTATACTGGTAACAAGGAGATTTATAATGTTAATAACTGGGTTAAAACTGTACTGGTTTAAATTTTGTAGTTCAGGGAAATCAATTATCGGCCAAACGATAAAAAAATATAGAAATGACAAATACCTATACCTATACCTATTCGTATCATCATGAATTTGTCATCATGAAGTCAAACCCTTATATTAAATCATTTTATTAACAGTATATCTATATGACGTGAATTCAGACAATGTTGTACTCTGTCACCAATACTAAAATTTATATTCAGATCAGTTGCTCAACAATTTGACGCTGAACCGTATGGAATAAAAGTAAATATAAAAACACTTGATGCAAAGCCTTCTTCAGAACATGGATACCTAAGTCTTGATCTTCCTCTGGCTCGTTGTCCCATCGGCCCTCTTAGGTCAAAAACCTTTCTATCTGTTGCACCTTCCTCTCGCCTAATTGCATGTCCTGTCCATCTAAGGCGTGCTACCTTAAATAATTTTACAACGTCAGGTTCCCTAAACTTCTATACATTTCAAAGTTGGAAAGGCTTGGTTCTTCTATGTAAGTTCTGCTCCACATATTAACACTGATCATATTGGTGTTTTATACATAGTCAGTTTAATTTTTCTGGGTAGGTTTGAGGCAATCTACATATATTCTCAAGCCATAGTAACACTTATTGGCAAGCACTATTTTTCTTTTAATTTCTTCGCTGAAGGTGAAGGTGTCCACACCTTCCAGTTCCAAATCGTCATTTAGTATTTTTCTAGGTAAATGGTTGCTTTACCTACTCATTATCATTAACAGCTATTCCATCCATCGTCGGATGTAAGTCTCCCTTAGATGTGTCGATTCATTTCCGTTTGCTCTTTTTTGCATCCATGCGTCACCAGCCATTCACTTGATGCAATCAGTCCATCTGGTTTGATGTCTGCCTCTACTTCCCTTGTTTGCTCTTGGCCGTCATTCAATAATTCGCTTCATGCAACATATATTTGATCTTTTGGGCATTTATATTTAGTTTCATTCTTATGCAGATGCCCTTAATGACCGAAATGCATCTGTCAGAGCCTCTGTCAACTTAGCTATTTTCTATCTTTTTGGCTATCTATTTTAAAGCATTTTCTGCAAGTGTCCATACCAAGGCCTATGTCTTTTGATTTGTGTTGTATGAATCAGAATGGCAATTATATTTTCTTGTCTTTTCGTGTCTGGAACTTTCAAATAAAACTCTTATTTGAAAGAGTTGATGTAAATACGCCTTATTTTTAAGAACATGAAACGTTTATTGTTGTGCTTAAACGGTACAAAAACTATTGCTCTTTTAGGAACTTCTTCTAGTTCCATGGCCGTTATCGATCGTTGGATATCATGTTGGCTAACATATTCGCTATCGTGACTTTATTGACAGCAGGTCTAAATAACGATTTTCCATACCATTGCCTCAGATTTTTCAGCCATGATGTTCTTTGTCTACCAGGACCACGATTACCTTGGATCTTTCCCTGAATGATCAGATGTAAAAGATCATATTTTTCAGGGTGCCTCATAATGTGACCGAAGTATTCCAGCTTGCGTTTCTTTATTATATTCACCAGTTGTGTTGTTTGGCTCAGCCGTCTAAGGACCTCATCATTCTAACTCTGTCGATCCAGCTTATTTTCAGTAGTCGTCTGTATACCCACATCTCAAAGGCTGTCAAGCGTTTAAGCATAGCCTCAGTTAGAGTCCACGCTTCCACTCCATACAGCAGGACAGGAAAGATGTAGCAAGATGTCATACGAACTCTAAGGTCAATGCTAAGATCGTGACTGCAAGGTACGTTTCTTATTTTTACAAAGGCAGTTTGGGCTTGTCCTATTCGACTTTTAATTTCTGCGGTTGGATACCAGCTCTCATTGATATTACTGCCGAGATACATGAGTTTTTCTACTCTGTCCAGTGTGGCATATCCGACTTTTATATCGTCATCCTGTATATAATTTTGTTTGCTAACTATCATATATTTAGTTTTCTTAACGTTGAGTTTTAATCCATACTGATCAAAAGTCTGTTTTATTTTGTTCATTAGATTTTGAAGGTCTTCTCCGCAATTGACAAGGACTAAGGTATCGTCGGCATATCTAATGTTGTTGACGGTTACTCCATTCACAATAATACCTTCGGTTTTCTTCATTAAGGCTTCCTTAAATATTTCCTCGAAATATAAGTTAAAAAATAAAGGCGACAATATACAGCCTTGTCTCACTCCTCTTTTTATATTTATTTCATCCGACAGTTCTTGTTCAACTTTTATTCTTGCCAGTATAGATTTGTAATTATTTGTAGATCTTTATCGTCCAATCCAGCTGTTTCCAATATTTCTAGCATTTTGTTATGTCGGACTTTGTCAAAAGCTTTTTCAAAATTGATTGCACAAATGTACACATTTTGATTTATATCTCTGCATCGCTGTACTATAACTGTATACTTATAGCACCTATATACTAAACAAGGCTTCTCTTGTACCCACGCCACTCCTAAACCCAAATTGAGTATTACTGATTATGTCCTCTAACAGCGTGTAAATTCTGCTGTGTATTACTCGCAGGAAGATCTTCAAAACGAGACTCATCAGACTTATTGTCCGATAATCACCGCATGTCTTTTTACGATGTTTCTTAGGTATTGTGACAAATGTCGACTTTAACCAATCAGTTGGTAATATCCC